CCTAAAAGATAAGACATCCGGTGCATTCGTATCGAGCGATGCACCGGTGTTCGAATCCCGCAGGCGGGTACCTACTAATTTTTCTATTGAAATACGCACTTACCAAATGTTCACGATTGACTTCCACGGTGAAGGAATAACATCGTGCAATAAAAATCAAACCCGCAAAATTATAATTTGCGTAATTACTGGTGGTAGGACCTCTTGTGAGTCCGCACGGGTAGGTACCACCGCCCGCCTATTTCTGCCGTGAAGCAGTAATGCGTTTCGGTTTGAAGGGTGGGGCAGCCGTTGTGACTATACTGAGACCTTAGAACTATATCTCAAGGTGTGCGGCGCATTTACGTTGTAGATGTCTATGGGCTCCAGTAACCACTTAACACCAGGTGGGCTGTGAACAAGTACACACATCTAAGCAATAAAAAAAAACTTATACATTTGTACACAGAGATATTTACCGATGTGTAAATTTTATATTATAAGTATGATATCATAATATGTACCGCGTAATGTGTTATGTCTATGTAAGTATATAATAATATGTGTTCTGTGTTTGTATATGTATATAATAATATTATCATTATTTTTCTTATTTCGCAAGATGGAATTCTTCTATCACAGGACTCTCTACACCACATTCAATTGGCTGGTAGAGAACGCCATAGACATTCAGTCCGCCATTATACTTTTGTGGATGAAGATAAATAAATAAATAATGTTGAAATACGTTATAAATAGTTACGGAACTCTTTGAAGACGAATCCTGAATTCACACTGCAATCAGACGCTTGGCTGCGCTGATCCGTTAATCAATAGCCGATCGAATAATCAGCGCTGTAAGTATCAAAATCGCTTAAGTATTTTCTAAAGCTTTTCGACGTCGGATTTGAAGCGTTGCACCAACATCGGAGAGTCAATCAGGCTAATGGACGTTTCGCTCAAACTGTGTATTTCGCTGATGGGCCACGATTTATTTCAATAATCCACAACGAACCATAATGGTCGCATAGTTGCCTCTAGCATGCTTGATCTTTTTTTTATTTTTATGAATGAATGAAAGATTACTGGTGGTCCGAAGGCCTTTCCAGTTTCACCAGGACAGGTGGGCGAGCAAAGGCTCAGCCAGGAGGGGTGAGATTTGCTAACAGCCGCGTGAGCGCCTCCGAAGGAGACCTAACAACTCAAGAGCAGCTGCTTCGCGAATTAATCTACTACCGGATCGGAATCGCGACCCGCTGAGAAGGCCCGGCGGGAAACTCAGCGGGCTGATGCATGGGTTAGGTTGCACGTCGACCTCTTTGTCGAGCTCGACGAGTACGGTTACCGGGGCTCCTCAGCCCGCTCCTAGTGTTAGAGCTGAAGGTATCTAAGGCAAGAGTTATTGTATCTGATGGATCTGTAAGGACGTGTCTAGGTCGACGACGGTGACTTGCTCTTGCGTGATTAGGATTTGATGTCAAAATCACATGGCTTCGTACTGACAGTCTCAATGTGTGTTAGTTTTTTTTATTACCCTTGTAGGCAGACGAGCATACGGCCCTCCTGATGGTAAGTAGTTACCGTCGCCCATGGACTTCAGCAATCAGGAGCAGAGCCAAACCGCTGCCTACCGTTAAGTACCCTCCACAAGCCCCGTTCGAAGAAGGATATGTCATAGCGCTCAGGAAACACCGTGAAGGGGAGCTCATTCCAAAGCCGGGTGATACGTGGCAAAAAAGATCTCTGGAAGCGCACTGCGGTCTTTGAACGTACTGGTATAGTAAGGTTGATATGCGACTTAAAGACATTATCAGGCCGTTGCCCATTTTTGTCGGAAAATTTTCAGGTTGGGTTGCAAACCAACCACACCATGTAGCACGATCTTTATTAACTATAAATCGGATTCGCGGAATTTAGAACTTTATATAGTAGAAAAAATGTGTGCGTGTACTAGTGTACACACGTAAGAAGTGAAACTTGTTTATGGCCTTATTTTTCGAAAAATGATCTACATGCAACTTTCTAGAAATTGGTTAAATAAAGTTAAATTAGATAAAGTTTAAACAAAAGGATTTTATTATCATAGACATGAATACAAATAATACAATTATTTCACTTTACCTTTTTGCTACTAAGATNATCTCTGGAAACGCACTGTGGATGACCGCAGTGGCTCCAGGTAGTATGGATGAACTCTACTCCGGTGGCGGGCGGTGCGATGGTAAAAACGAGATGCTGGTATCATCTCGAACAATTCCTCAGAGCACTCCCCATGGAACATACGGTACAAAATACAGAGGGAACCGAAGTCCCTCCGCAGACCCAGAGGCTCCAAACCAGAGGTCTTAAGTTAAAGTTATTCGTATGTCTGCGAGCAGGTTGTCAGTTAAAGCTTCAGTAATTCTGATGCTCGCGGCAATCGGTGGCAAGAATTCCAAAGAATGACTTTAAAAGCGCCGCTATTTGACATTCCACAATATATTCTAAACAGTTTTCTGTGAATTACATTGTTTGTTATGGCTTAGACGGCTGAAAGAGTTTCAAGTAGTAAACATAAACATCACAAGCGTTGTTACCGCCATTTATGTTGAGGTTTGAGGTCGAAATTCCAAATGTATTGTAAAATTGCTACGTTCCTTTTCAAACTGAAACGCATGGCAGGTTCGCGGCAGATATAGACTGTGGTACGCGCCCGGTGCTCACAATACGCTCAACCGCCATAGAATCTCTTTTATATATTTAATAAGTCTTGTTTAACGTAAAACAATTTAATGAATAAATAAATAAATGTCAAATATTAAATCTAATTTAACCAATATTTAGGATAAAACTCTAATATTTAAAACGAACTTGAATTATTAGCTCAAATGTAATCTAGTGGAAAGGATGCCGGTCATCAAACAATCTACATTCTGATGTCATTCTAGTTCAAAAACTTTAGCAAGCTTAAAATGTTCGGGTTTCCGTGACCACCAAAAGAGTAATAAATTCGATACTTCCTATTAATAAGGATATATTATTATATAGGGAATACTCATAAAAAAACAGATTACTTTTTATATTTTCCTTTTTTAACAATGATAGCTTTGTATGTAGATAGGTAGGTACATGGGTTGATGAAACGGATAGAATCAGACACCATCTTCAAATAATAATAAAAAATTTAAGTACATATTTAGAAAACGCAAAAGAGGTTGTCAAAATGTATGTATGTACCTAATGACTGTCTTATTTGTTGTAAGCTAATTGGTAATGAGATATATAATTAAATTTTATTCAAACGTGTAATATATTAGTGATTTTTATTTATTTACTATTAATTTTAGACCAAGCGAAATGTTTGGCCTCGTCTCAACGTAGACCGCATTCACCGCGGTTTCGCTTTTTTAGGCTTCTTGTGTAATATTTAGTAGATTCAAATATGTCATTATCATAACATACTCAATTCAACCATAAATGCTATATGCTACAAATATATTAACAGCCGTAACCCTTATATACAGCCCACTGAGTTTCTCGTCGGATCTTCTCAGTGGGTCGCGTTTCCGATCCGGTGGTAGATTCAAGCACTGCTCTTACTAGGGCCAGTGTTAGCAACACTCCGATTTGAGCCCCGAGAGCTCACCTACACGCTAGGGTAACGCTGATATAGCCTATCAAGGCTATCAGCATAGGTAGGAAAAGAAACAGCCATAATTTAAAATTCCTTTTGTTTCGCGGTTAGAAGCAGAGGAGTCTACGGCTTACAATGAGCAATCACCGTCACTCATGGACCTAAGCTATACCAAGAATACAGCCAAGCCACTACTGCTCTGAGATAGTTTACGATTAGTTTTACAATTCTACAAAAAATCAATTATATATTCTTAACATTAACTATTCTTCATTTTCTGAATGTAAATTTATTTTCTTATTATAAAAAAAAAGAACATAATATTCCTAAATAACCTAAAGGTACATCTTATTATCCGCAACACGCTTCGTCAGATTACAGAAATAGAGTTATCAGCAACATGCTTCGTCAAAAATTCTATTCTTCATTAGTTTTATTAATTGAGAAAATAGGTAATACTCATAGGAAAAATACTTGGTAATAACGTTTCGGTAAAGGAGTTGGAAAATTTACAATTATCTAATTACCAACTGTCACGGCTTGTCATCTTCTATTTAATACGTTCAGATAATAATACACTGAAAGGAGCAGCTGAAGCCGTCTTCATATATAAAAAAGTTTGGGAAAGAGCTTCATGTACTACATATAAAGCATGAGAGCTTTTCGGAACGAAAGCATTTTAAAGACTAGAATACCCACTAAGGTAATTTAAATAATGTACTATGTAAAAATATCAATGCTATTCAGTTATGCATGTTGCATTACTCATTTCTATTCTCCTCTCTATTTCTATTTTATTCTCTTCTATTCTCTTCTATATATTCATTTCTAGCTAAATACAAAATTTTGAATTTAAATCAGCACTGATTTTCCAGCGGACACATTCACACATTAAACAATCGAACACGTTAATTTCATCACTAAAACGTCGTACTTATGTAAATTAATGAAAAGAAATTAATTAAATCATTATCGGACAGCTTTCGCAACACATAATTCTTTTGTACGTGTAATTAAATTACATTTCAATTGGCCACTTAGACGCCCACACCTCTCTCGGCTAACAATGAATTGTATAGCCGATTGCAGTTTCATAATCGATCCAACAATTAATTCAGACGATTGTTTGGTTTATTTTTAAATAAAAAAATATTTTTGAAACCAAAATAAAGGTTTCAATGTTTTTTTTGCTAAGTAAAGAAATCGCGACAAGTTAGGGCACTATTGTTTTCTTGTTATCAGCGGGGCAGGTGTTGTATTAAACTTTTCCTTTCAACAGAGGGCTCCGAGCAAAGCACGCCGATGTGCCGCTTCTAATTTTAGCAGTCACGTTCCTATTGTTTGTCTTATTATGTTCCGGGACGCCCGTGTAACTGTCGATAGAGCTGCATAAATTTGGCGAACTGACCTGAATCATGAGTGCGGCTCGTGTCTTCCCCACAAACAAACATCAAACGACACACCCGGTCACTTCACAGTGCATTTCACATCGGATCCACTCTGTGCATGCGAGTGCGTAACGTAACACAAATATATTCGTGTGATTATACCTCGATATACAAGCTGCGGCGCTAACACGACCGTCTAACAGTCTGTGAGACCGGACACTGGGCTTCAGGCGCCGCAGAGCGGGATGAAAGATACGCGGGGGGACATGCATGCTGAAGGATGCCAAAGGAACCGGCCAGATGCGACAGGACTCCGGAGAAAAGAGACGACTACACTGCGTGACATTTGAAAAGAGTGTCTTTACACCACCTTTCGTGTTGCCTTACCGAACTAACCACTAACTCCGCGCCGTAAAGCTCAATATTGTAGCGTGGCGTAGAAGTTACGCCTTTGTCGCACCGAGTTTCAAATGTCCTCTAATGTGTCGCACAATCCGGAGCGTCGTTCTTAAAATACAGTCGGATAGAGGCTAGAATTGTGTGTTATTCTTTTGTCGGTTGTGTCGTCTGGCGGCGGGAATCGGTGTCGCGCTGTGTCGCAGAAGCGCGCTGTGCGAGCAAGACGGAAGTATGTGGGCTGTGGGGTGGGAGGAAGACGGGGAGGTGTCACCACGAGCGCTTTTTAGGGACTTTAAGCCGGATAAACGCAAACAGAGGTAGCTGCGGATTTTATGACTTGGCGGTTTTGCGTGGGCAGATGTGACCTTTCAGTGAGGTGATGAGCTACTGAAATGTGAAATACGGTAAGTTTAGATAGAGATATAACAATTACCTATAAACTCTGCACGTGCATAAATAAGACGTTAAACAATCACGTAACTAATCGAATATTGCTTTGGTAAACAAAAAAAAAAAAACTGCATATATTTTTTTTAAATACAAATAGGATTCCCATTATACCGGTGTCAACAAAAACTCAGAAGTCATAGTAGCCCAGTCGTCTCGTTGACTGACAAAAAGTGACTTCCCGACAAAGGTCCGTTCGTATTCGGTACAATGCAGTAGCGCCACCGTTACAATTACCGTACAATAGAAATGTGACAGTTCGGTTTGTCATCCCAAAGGCCACAGGAATGGCGTTAGTGACGTGCCAGTGGCCCCAGACGGATTATGTGCCGGTCCTATTCGTCGCGTGTAGCCCACCCACAAACAATGACGAGTAGGTACACAGAATGACATTGTATAGCAATCATTACGGTGCATCAAGAAATTTACGGTATTTTAATTTTTGAAACGAGATTATGCTTTGGATCTTTTTTTTGAATTTTTTTTTTGTCGCATGCATTGATGGACGAGCTTACAGCCCACTTGGTGTTAAGTGGTTATCGGAGCCCATAGATATCTACAACCGCCACCCGCCTTGAGATATTGATTCCAAGGTTTCAGTATAGTTACAACGGTGCTTCACGACAGAAATAGGCAAGGTGGTGTTACCTACCCGTGCGGACTCACAAGAGGACCTACCATCAGTAATGTTTGAATGTATTTATATTGTGTTTCCAATTGTATATTTGATTTGTTCGCGGATTTTTTAAGTCTCTTGTTAATTCTTCCTCAACCCTGACCTTCCTTCTAAAGCTAATTCCGCCGTGTAAGTCCACACTAAGGTCTCTAAATCTAATCTTAAAGTGGTAGAGCGTATTTTTAGCAAATATGTGTGTATCAATGCTGCGAAGCGTGGATTTTATTCTCTCGTCAACCTATATATGATTATTTCCATATTTTGTCTCAAGGTTATTTATTTCGTCTCAACGTTATTTACATTATTTGCCTGGAGACCGCCAACAACTTGACATCAGGTAAGATATGATCTCTTATGCCGGCAAAAAAAAGGTTATTAGTATTTTTATTACATCAAATGGCGAGATAATTTCTAGGCTCTACTTAAACAGTCATGTGATCGAAGTCTCAAGTGCTTTACGGCTGCTCTTGCTAGGGCCAGTGTTAGCATCACTCTGTTTTGAGCCCCGTGAGCTCACCTACTAGTTAAGGTTACGCTGAAATAGCCTCTCAAGGTACTCAGATAGATAGGAAAAAAAAAACTGAAGCCTANTTTTTATTACATCAAATGGCGAGATAATTTCTAGGCTCTACTTAAACAGTCATGTGATCGAAGTCTCAAGTGCTTTACGGCTGCTCTTGCTAGGGCCAGTGTTAGCATCACTCTGTTTTGAGCCCCGTGAGCTCACCTACTAGTTAAGGTTACGCTGAAATAGCCTCTCAAGGTACTCAGATAGATAGGAAAAAAAAAAACTGAAGCCTACTAGATCGTGGACGACCATCTTTTATAAATAGCAAATTAGAATGACATCAAAATTTAATACACGAACATTGACTTATCGTCGTGAAGCTTGAATAACATTAGCATAACATTAAATGAACAGTTATAATACCAGTTCGAAATATAATTCAACAATTTAAACAAATATAATGTTAGGAACGAGGAGCCGGTTGTTGATACTGGCGATCCAAACAATCAGCGTGCAATCGGCAATAAAAATATATTATGTAAAAAAAAATCGTGTGATCATTTTGGTTTATTTATGGCGATTTTTAATTTTAACAGACAATAGAGCAATAATTTAGCGATAGTTTCGAACATATCCATCACCGGTGTCTTCGGATTTATAAAACAAATTACCAGATTTCAATCGCGTTTCAAACAAGCTTGATCTGGTAACGCTCGATTTTAAAAATTCAACAAAATTTTTGGGGCTATCAATAAAAAGAAAACAACGCTGGTTTTTAGCTTCTATTACATTACTTATCTCTGTGTAATGTTGTTTTAATAGCGACTAAAGTTCTTGAGGCATAAACAAGTGCTTTATGTTAAGGAGACTGCACACAGACGAGAAACCGCGGCGTGAAATTTAATGTGACTCGCGTTATTTATTTCGTTCGTGTTGTAATTTTAATAGACTTGAATTATATTGAACGATGAATACTACGTTATTGATTTTAAACTAATAACCTTTAAAGTTACGATTAAGATTTCCTTGGAGTAATTTTTTAAATCACTACATATAAATAAATCTTTAAAACTACGCAACGGATTTTGATGCGGTTTTTTTTAATAGATAGAGTGATTGAAGAGGAAGGTTTATATGTATAATAACATTCATTAAATAGTGGAAAAATACTGTTATTTTTTAGGATTATAATGTGATGTCGTAAATAATCAATAATAAAATTTCATGTTTCCGAAGCGAAGCGAAACGAGGGCGGGTCGCTAGTACTGAATAAATGATTACAAAACTAGAGTATAATATTTGTTTATTCCGTCTTCGATTTTTACGAGTCGGTGTTTAAGACGAGTTTTAAGGCTTAATTTCGCGTTTATTTTCATCGTTGTTTCCGACAATTCGAATACTTTACATTTTTCGTTATCAAGGACGACTGTCGACGATCGTTGTCCAAAAGTAGTGAATATATAATGATTAACTATATAATTTATTTGCTTATGATATAAACGAGATTTCTTTTTGTTCCCAATAAACGCGCATAAAAAACATTTCTCGGGTTTTTCTTGACGAATCACTTTCCCTTTACTGTATATGTCGATGAAATTACACAATGCTGCTAATAAAATCATGACATCTATAAAAAAACATCATCAACATCGCGTTTATTTTGAAGAGCGTTAAATTAAACGCGGCGTCTTTGCGACCTTGTGTAAGCTGACCTCCACGCGTTCATAGTACTTTATAACGATGATTACCATTGTTCGGAGGGTTTTGAGTGATGTCTGCTAATGGCGGTAGATTATCGGGTGTCATTTATTTAAATTCATTTAAACTATCGTTTTGTGAAATCTAATTTGGGGCCACTTGATTGAGAAATGTTACTGGAAACTTAACGAATTTGTAATGTATGTGTATGTGCCTTTATGTGGGATTCAGTATTTGCTTCAAAATGAGTTAAAATATCGTTTAAAGGGGGGATTTTTTTTTAGGTTAGCTGTCGCAAGCGTGTCGCTTTGTAATCTAAATTCATTTAATACATACATGAAATTTTATAGGTGTTAAAGGAATACTACCTATTGAATTGCTTTAACCGTATCTTGATGTGCCTACATCATGTGTGTAAAGCTGGAAATGTGTTCACGATTGCTCACCATCATTTACGCTAGATAAAATAAATATAAATGTACTATATCGCGGTCGACTCATCTGATATTAAGTTACGGAGCCGATAGACAGATTGTATGTTGCTTCCTACCGCGAGTCATGAGGTCAGTCTCATGTTATTGCATAACGGTTGTTCAAGCTGAAACGCGTGACTGCTTTGCGCAAAAATAAGCGGGATGGTCGTACCTACCCGCGTGGGATCACAACGCTCCACCATTTATTATACAAACTCATAGTTGCACTGATGCGGCCAAAGTCCCCAATTCTCATTTCTGTAATGTCAACACGCCAATAAAATAAAAATAAAAAGACAAAAAAAATATAATTGAAACGAAACAATAAAAATATACAACGTATCCACGCCGTCATCTGTTGCCGGCGACCAGCAAATTAGTTTCACGATACCCCCAGATCGAGCGATAGAACGACACGCAATAAAACGCACAACGATTCCCTTCGACAGAACGAAAAAAAAAAAAAAAAAAAAAAAAAANCAAATTAGTTTCACGATACCCCCAGATCGAGCGATAGAACGACACGCAATAAAACGCACAACGATTCCCTTCGACAGAACGAAAAAAAAAAAAAAAAAACTCGTCACCTGTCGTGTCATTTGGTTCCAATAAACGAGCCGCCAAAGAAAACAATGTATTAGAAAAAAAAAAACGTAACATAGATAACTTAGACTTCATCGGGGCTCCCCAGATTTTGTAAAATAGTTTTGATCCTTATGCCTCCTAGAATAGCAACAAAACTCCTTTGAGTGGCACTGTTTTTTTTTTTGTTTAGGGACATTTTTTTTCTTTGTAATCGTTTTGACTGACGAAAATTTACGACCTGGACGCTCTCAGCGAAATTAAATTGCGGACCGACTTCATTAGCCGATGTTTTCGTAACAATAGCTCCGGTTCGTTGTTACATATTAGGAATATTACTATTGATTGTCTTGAATTTCAATTTTTCTTTATATCCACACTTCATATCGGTAACAAAACAATTATGATAAAAATATTT